GGATGGCATGTGGAGGGCTCATGTTCAAACCAGGGGTACCTAGAAGCCCTCAGGAGAATGGAAACGGGTGGGCATGATTAGATTCATGATTTGGGAGGATCACTGGGGATAGTACAGTGCGTGGATCCCAGGCTAGGTGATCATTCATTCATTCACTCACTCATTCATCCATGTCTCCCACAGTTGTCCATGGATCCTCCTGGAAGGGGGAAAGCCAAGGAGGGCTGTAGCAGTGACTCTCTCTCTACCCTGCCTGCACATCAGAATCACCTGGAGAGTTCTGAAAAGGCACTGATGCCCAGGCCCTAACCACCAGAGACAGATACAATTGAATGGGTCTGATCCCATTGAATCAAACACGCTTTAGCTGGTCTGCCCTACAGTCTTGGCACTGGTAATTTTTTTAAAGCTCCCCCATGTGATTCTAATATGCAGCCAGGATGGTGAACCCCTGATCTCCAGAGATTTAAGAAGTTGCAAAAGGGCTCTGAGCCAAATTCAGCCCATAGATACATTTTGTTTGGTCTGCACAGTGTTTAAAAATAATTGGAAGCTGAAATCTTTTTATGCAAAATATCTGGATTTCTGGCTTCTCTTGAAAAATCAGAAGAGCTGGCAACCCTGGGCCAACATTCCAACAGCAGTGATCTCCTGGAGCAGGGTGGCAGAAGCGGGCCACACGTGCCCAAGTGCCCACACATGGTCACTTTCACTTCTGCATTGGCAGAATCCTGTCTGGTCCCTCAGTTTGCCACCTGGCTATGTCCAGATTGTACAGGCAGGTGCCTTTCCCTGGAAGGACAACACAGCCAGAGAAGAGGCCCGCAGGGGATGGAAGAGATGATGAGCCAATTTGGGACAGGTAGGACTTCCAGGTTTGCGTCCACTGGAAGCTAGAGATGCGAGTGGCATTCACAGAACTTGGAGACCAGATCAGTGATCACCAAATGATTTGATCCTAGTGCCGCCTCCCTTTTCACACTGATGCTCAAAAAGCATGAGCAACTTGCCCGAGGTCACGCAATGCTCAGGGCTTGCTCTAGAATCGGAGGTTCTTGTTTCCCAGACAACAACATCACCCAGCCCAACACATGGCCCACTGGCCAGCTCTGGACCTCAGCTGAATTGCTTTGCCCTGCCTCAGTTTCTCCAAAGTCACCACAAACCATTAAACCTTTTCTTCCTTAGGGTATCAGGTACTGTTTTGTCTTCTCCAAGAAGAAAGGCAGTCCTGCAGTCATGCTATTGCCCCTTTGATGGACCCCACAGCCCCCCAAAAAACTCTAGTCCAAGAATATCACCCTCCACCTCCTCCCTGCTCCTTTCAGAGGCTTCTTCAAGCAGGTGTCCACATGGTCTCTAGTTGGCACAGGAGGCTTTTCCTCCTTCAAGGGACTTCTCAATTCTCCTTTCCTCTTGTAACCTCCTGGCACGCAGCTTTCCAGATGGAAACCAGGTTCCAGGACGGCGGGGCTTTCTGTGAAAAGGCTCCTAGACCACAGCACACGAGCAGCGCTGTAGCTGTTGGGGGAGGGGTGGGGAGCAGCTGCCCTGAGGATGAATGTCCAGGTCCAGGTCTTGGCTGGAATGGATGTGCTGGAAGCCCTACAGGCCAAGGACGTGGTGGGCTCCTTCCTGGTCAAGATGGACAGGGACTGCTCTACACCCCAGAAGACTGCACCCTTGGATTTCTCAGGTGCTCCCAGAAGGCCAAGAAACTTGGGGGGAGGCTGGGCTGGGGTGCAGCAGGGCCAGTGACCAAGGAGTCCAGGGGAGGTTTCTTGGCCTCTTTCTTCTACTGACAAGCTGTGTCATTTTTGCTAAGGCATTAGCCTCAGTGACTTCATCTGTAAAACAAGAGCAACGGTGCCTCGTTTGACTCAAGGGCTCTGGATTCAAGGTTCAGAGCAGAGAAGTGCCCCAGCCCTGCAGTCAGGTGAACCTGGGAGGAAGGCATGATCTGAAATGGAAAATAATAGTGCCTCGGGTTGCCTGGGAGCCCCCTTGGGGTAGGGAGGTGGCCTTAGTTTGCTAGGGCAGCCATAAAAAAATTCCAAAGACTGGGTGGCTGAAACAACAGAAATTTGTTTTCTTATAGTTCTGGAGTCTGGAAGTCTAAGATCAAAGTGCCAAAAGGGTTGATTTCTTCTGAGGCCTCTGTCCTTGGCCACCTTCTTGTTGTGTCCTCACATAGCCTTTCTTCTGTGCATACACATTCCTGGTGTCTTGCCCTCCTTTTTTTTTTTTTTTCTTTTTTTTTTTTGAGACAAGGTCTCCCCCTGTTGCCCTGGCTAACATACAGTAGTATGATCATAGCTCACTGCAACATCAACCTCCTTGGCTAAAGTGATGCTCCCAACTCAGGTTCCCTCCCAGGTAGCTGGAACTATAGGTGCACACCACCATGCCTGACTAATTCTTCTATTTTTTTTTTTTTTTGTAGAGATGGGTCTCATTCTTGCTCAGGCTGATCTTGAACTCCTGGCCTCAAGCAATTGTCCTGCCTTGGCCTCCCAAAGTGCTAAGATTACAGGCGTGAGACACTCTACCCAGCCTCTTCCTCTTCTTAAAAGGGCACTAGTCCTATATGATTAGGGTCCCACACTTGTGATCTCATTTAATCTTAATTATTTCCTAAAGGCCCTATCTCCAAATACAATCACACTGTGGAGTTAGGGAATCAACATATCAATTTTGGGGAGACATAATTCAGTCCATAACAGGAAGAAAAGGAGAAGAGGCACTTTTCTTTATCTGCACAGAGAAACTTTAACCCAATCTATCTGTTTGACATCCACCCATAACTTTGGCAATGAGGAAGGGCACTATATTTCGTGGCATGTGATCTTAACCCACATGGCAGCCTTGAGAAGAAGCACCGCGACTCCCATTTTACAGATGGGGAAAATGAGGTTAGAGGGCTTACAGAATTCACACCCTGTCCTTTCTATCCATGGCACTGCCCTGCCTGCTCTCCAGGGCTGGATCCACTGAATTTGTCTGTATGCTACCACGGGCCTTTGGCACTGTACAAAGATGTCAGTGGTTGAAGAAAAATGTCTGTAGAAGAAGATAAGAAGGAAGGAAAAGGCTCTGAGATCTAGAACTATTCACAGACAAAAGATGATGGGATAATCGGCCACTAGAATGATGAGGCTGCTAAAGAAAGAGGAGAGGGAGGGAGGAAGGAAGGAAAAAAACCTGGAAAAGTGAGAGTGCATTATTCAAAGTCTAGTGCCCCAGTAATTACAGGTCATGTTTACTGAGTACCTATATATTAACTCATTTAATTCATGTATTAACTCATTTAATGACTACATATATTAACTCATTTAATTCTCATAACAACCCTACATGGTAGGCACTATTACCTCTATTTTGTAGATGAGAGGAAACAGAGGCATGCAGAGGTTATATACCTTTCTCAAAGCCCCACACACAGTCAACGCCAGTGCTGGGCTGTGCGGACCTTACAGCACAGCGAACTCTGCCTGGGTCCAGGAGGCTTAACACGACCTGTCCCAGTTCTGGGTTCTGACTGTCAGGGGCTTCAAGAAACGCGAGCACTTCCACAGAGGGGTGGACTCGAGACAATGAACGATATGAACGATATCTACTGAGGACTATGTGCCAGACACTGTTCCAAGTGCTTTACATATAGCAACTCCTTTAATCTTCACGATCATTCTAGGGGGTAAGGTACTATTATTGTCCCCATTTTATAGATGAAGGAACTGAGGAAAGTCACAGAAACACAAACGCCCAGTGAAACTCAGGTGTTTCTGCAGCAGAAGGGCCAACTTGAGGGGGCAGCCCCCCTTCCTTCTGCCCAGGGGGAAGAGAGAGGGATGTGCGGACACAGGTACCCATGCTAGGGGTTAGGGTCAGGACACCTGCCCTGGGTCAAGATTAGACTCAATGACCTCTAAGCCCCTTCTAGCTCTGAGACTCTGCTGGCTGCTCAGAACAAGGGAGGAGCTAGAGAAATAAGTGAGTCTAGGAGGAAGCCTGATGTGATCCATTTGCCCAGAGCCACTGGAACAAAACCCTGACTCCGAATGAAGGAAGGAATGGACTATTCACTTTCTTTCATTTGGCTAGAACCTGGGGTCTTCATTCATGTGACAAAAATCTGTGGTGGTGTCTGCTGGGGGCCTGACAGGGCCTGGAGATGGTGGGAGGCGTGTGGCGTCCAATCAGCTCAAGGGACCATTTGTTGAGCATCTGCTATGTATTGGGCAGGAGAGTGTGGCATCGTCACATTTACTCCCCTCAACACCATTATGCACATAGTGAGACTTTGTCCCTACAAAGTAGAGAGAAATTAGCCCTGTGGTGGCGCATGCCTGTAGTCCCAGCTACTCGGGAGGCTGAGGCAGGAGGATCGCTTGAGCCCAGGAGTTTGGGGTTGCAGTGAGCTATGATGATGTCACTGCACTGTAGCCTGGGTAACAGAGAAAGACTCTGTCTCAAAACAAAACAAAACAAAACAAAACAAACCCCATTTTACAAACGCAGAAACTGAGACTCAGGTTGGAGGAAGGACCTTGCCCAAGGGCAAACATCTGGTAAGTGCCTGAGCTGGTTAGTTCCACGTACCAGACACCCTGTCCCCACTGTCCTGGGGGGAGCTCAGCACTGACCTGTGGCCCTCCTGTGGAGTCACAGCTACCTCTCACCCCCTTCTCAGGAGGGCCAGGGGCCGGGACACCAGCTTGGGGACCCCGCGTGTCAGGCTGGGGACAGCAAGGATGAGGAGTGGGGACAGAGGCTGGGATGTGGGCACGGGAGAGAGGCACGTCTTACTGGACGTGCCTGCTAGGGCTGCAGAGTGGGGCGGGGTGTCCCCTACTTTGGAGGGGTGCTCGTCCCTGCGGAGAGAGTGCCAGGAGGGAGGCGGCCGGGCGCCCTCGCTGGGCGGGCGGCGCAGGTGTGCCGAGTGCCATGACGACTGCGCCGCGGAGCCCCCCCCTCTCTCCGGGCGGCGGCAGAGGCGAGAGGGCAGCTGCGCTGCGCTGCGCGGGAGCCTCAGCCCAGCCGCCGCGGCTGACGGGCTGACTCGGCCCGAAGGCAGAGCGAGCTGGCCAGGGGCCGGGGCCCCTCGCCCGGGTGGACCCGCGGAGCTCAGACTCAGGGCGCTGGCCGGCCAGCAAGTGTCTGGAGACTGCCCCTCCGCCCCTGCCACCAAAGAGGCTGGGAGACTGTCCCGGAGCCGGCAAGAGTGGGCAGCATGGAGGGTGAGTGACCCCGGGACTGGGCATGGGGGCGGGGTGGGGTACTGGGTCAGGAGCAGGGGGCCGAGGGAGAGGAAAGGGGCTGGGGCGGCTGATCACCGATGGCTGTCCAGAACCAGACACTGTGACACTCCGTGTCTGTGACAGCGACCGACAGACACTGAGAGAGGGAAAAAGACTTGGGGGCGCCTCTATGGCCATGTTATGAGTGTGTGTGTGTGTGTGTGTGTGTGTGTGTGTGTGTGTGTGTGTGTAAGAGAGACAGACAGAAACCGAGACAGAGAGCGGGAGAAAGAAAGATCTGGGGGGGGGTGTCCCTATGTCCATGTCGTGAGAGTGTGCACGCACACAGTCCTGGCCTCTGAGCAGAGGATCATTTGAGACCAGGCAAGGACAGTTGGCTATTAGCTTTAGAGGAACTGTCACGATTTTGCCTGCTTGAAGAGGTGGGGATAGTGGGAGAGATGGAATTCTAGAGATCTCCTCCACACAGGGAGATTTCTCTCCCTGGGGAAAGAAGGAACTATGGACCTAACCTCCAGGACTTTAAGGGCTAGTAGCCCAAGGCATAAGGCTGCTTGCTCCAGTCTTATGGGGGCGGAGGGTAGACCCTGTTTTAGCCATGTGGGCAAGGGAAACTATATTTAGGCCAAGAAAGTGGAGTGCTGAGGGCTGGTCCACTGGCTTGCTGGGTGTCTTTGAGATGGTGCCTAAACCTTTCTGTGCTACTGGTTACCCATCTGTTGAATGGATAAACTTATATTCAGCTGGCTCACAGCATACCTGTGAGGATAAAACAAGACAGGATATGTTGTACAAATTCATGCCAGAGTGAGAAAGCTGCTGTAAGAGATGATAAAACCCTGAAATTCCAATAATTGCAAACACTGCTGTCAAGAAAGAAGAGGGAGTTTTATAGAAAATCTTTGGAGGGTTGCACTTGTAGCTTTCCAATGAGCTAGGGTTTGAAAAGCACACACACAAAAGATGCAAGGAGGAATGCATAACCCGAGAGGCATCTGGAAGATTGGCAGGGTCTGTAAGAATAGTGTTAGCAAAGCACTGAAGCTCCAGTGAATGGACCAGGGGAAAATTGTCAAAGACAGAGCAAAGAGCTTTCAGAGCTCCAAGTAAGGAAGACAAGAAGGAAGCTGCTCAGGCTTGGGGCTCAAGGGCGGGCAGAGTGGGGCACAGGTAATTTTACTTCAAATTGTGAAATAAAGAGCATAGGGAGGAAATTGAGACCCAAGATAAGCGAATGATAAGAAAAAGAGATCCAGCCACCTACAATGAGCTCACCCCATTGAAGCCCAAACAAATCACATCCCAGGGACCAGGAGGTATTTGCAGATGTAATCATTGCCTTAGGGGAAATTACAGAGAATGATGGAGGTGCTAGGAAACTGAAGATGGGCAAATGTCCTGGTTTTCAAAAAGGGAGGGAAGATAGATTTCTTACAAGCCTCTAAACTGCTCAGATTAGTATTGACCGCTATTAAAACTCTAGAAGAACTGATCAAACACACAAGGCAATCACACATCTCAGAATGTTTTCAAAGGGGGCCATCTGCACGCTTGCACAGACTGAGCCTGAGCACGTACATCACAGTGCACGTCTGAAACCATCTGGATGCCCGTAGATTAAGTAAATTAAATCAAAGACGAGACACACCTGCAGTGGCATGCTGTGTAGACATTAAAAAGTGTGCTTAGGATTTTATTTATTGGCATGGAAATATGTTCAATGCCTACTGTAACAAAAAAGGTTTTTGAACACATATGTAGTATGTTCCTCTTTATGCGAAATTACATAGGTTTATCATTGAGATCTATATCTCTCAATGAGATGGTCACTAACATTTTTGGATTCTCCTGCTCCTGAAAGCATACCCTAAGACAGGACTTGGATTTAGGGAGTTTATTATTAGGGAGGGGATGCCAGGAAGCAGAAGTGAGAGAATGAGGAATGTGAAATAGGGATGGGAGAAAAAGCAAGAATTGGGTGCATTAATGGGCTAGTTTTAGTGTGGGCAACTGGGGGTTCTATCCTGCTGGGGACCCTCTGAGAAAAGTGTAGCATGAACCTGAGATTTGCCCCACATGAGATGGGGTGCTGACTGCTGTTTGCCCCTCCCCACTGGTTGAGTGTTTCTCCACTCCCGCAGTTCTGGGTTGTTCTGCTTGTGGCTCCAGAGAAAGGAAATCAAGAGAGTTCTGGGTGGGCAGGCTTGATGGGGCTTTGGAAGTGCAAGGAACTGTCTACCCCAGCCGAAATCTTTGGGCCGAGGGCATGTGGCAGGCAGGGAGCATGACAAATACATCAGCCACAGGGACTGTCTCTGGGTGTGAGATTTCTGTGCTGTTTACTCTCTCTTTTGTAGTGCTCAGACTGTTTTATCATAAGAACACCTTTTCTTATAAAAACAAAACAAAAAGGCGTCTTCAGAAAGAAACAAATAACGTAATATTCATTAGGAGCGTATGTTAATACTCACTAAGAATAAATCAAGGCACTCAAACAACTCAAGAGCAAGAAAACAAAAAAGCCAATTTAAAAATGGGCAAGGGACATGAATAAACATTTCTCAAAAGAAGACATACAAATAGCCAACAAATATATGAAAAAATGCTCAGCATTACTAATCATTAGGGAAATGCAAATTAAAACCACAACGAGACATCGTCTCACACCTGCCAGAATGGCTTTTATCAAAAAGATGAAAGATAAGTGTTGGCAAGGGTACAGAGAAGAGGGAATCCTTGTACACTATTGGTGGGAATTTAAATGAGCATAGCCATTATAGAAAATGGTTTAGAGGTTCCTCAGAAACCTAAAAATAGAATGACCATATGATCTAGCAATCCCACTTACCCCCAAATTTGAAAGTAGTTTCTTGAAGAGATGTCTGCACCCCCGTATTCATTGAGGCATTATCCACAAGAGCCAAATGCTAGAGTCAACCTAAGTGTCCATCAGCCGATGAAGGGATAAAGAACATGTGGTTTGAGTGCACAGTGAAATATTATTCAGCCTTAAAAAAAACAAAAACAGAATTCTGTTATTTGCAACAACATGGACAGAATTGGAGAACATTATGCTAAGTGAAACAAGCCAGGCACAGAAAGGCAATGCAGCTTGTTCTCACATTATGTGGAATCTCTAACAATCAAACCCATAGACGCAGACAGTAAATGGTAGTTACAGAGGCTGGGTGGGAGGAGTAATGGGGAGATGATGGCCAAAGAAAACATAAGCTCGGACAGGAAGAATATGTTTTTCTTTTCTTGTGTTCTCTCTTTTTGTGTGTGTGTTCTATTGCACAGCATGGTGAATATAGTTTATTAAATAATAGAGTATTGTACATTTCGAAATAGCTCACAGAGTAAATGTCAGATGTCCTCACTACAAAAATGTTAAGTATTTGAGGTGATGGCTATGTTGACTAGCTTGATTTAATTATTCCACATTGTATTCATAAATTATAACCTTGTAGGTCATACATTTATACAATTATAAATCATCCATTTACAATAAAAAAATTAAAAAATTTTTTTTTAAAAAATCCCCAAAGAATACAAGATAAAAATCAAATCAATGCCTTTGGAGCAAGTGTTCATCAGATACGACTGGTTGGTAGATGATTCTGTAACTCCATCTAGCTGTCGATTTTACATCGCTATTCACAAAGCTTGTAAGTTTTACAATAAATAATACTTCCGAAACAAATAAAAGAACAAATCAGGCTAAACCAACCAAATCAGGCTAAACCATCTGCCTCCTTTAGACTAGGTTTCTGAGAGGAAAAAAGGATGAATTATAACAGTTCAGCAGGATGCTGCAAAGATCTCTCATGAAAACCCCGTGCGTTGACAGAGAGCCGTGGGGAGGATGGCGGAGGACTGACGCGGCGTCTCATTAAAGGCTTCATAGCAGCAGCCCAGGGATCCTTAGGACTCTTCCCCTGACATGATGTGAATTAATAATTTAAGGGGAAAGTAAGAGGCATGCTTGTCAACCCTGTGGATAGGAGCCGTAACACCACCAGATTCAGGATTTAAGGTTATCTCCATATACTGGCATGCTGGATTGAAACCAAGAAAAAGAAATGTAAATGTAAATAAAATGTAAACTCCTGAATTTAGGTCCAAAAAAAAAAAATCAATGGCATACATTTAGATCTGGCTTGTATTCTTTCTCCCTTTGTTGCCCAGGCTAGAGTGAGTGCCGTGGCGTCAGCCTAGCTCACAGCAACCTCAAACTCCTGGGCTCAAGCAATCCTGCTGCCTCAGCCTCCCGAGTAGCTGGGACTACAGGCATGCACCACCATGCCCGGCTAATTTTTTATATATATTTTTTAGTTGGCCAATTAATTTCTTTCCATTTATAGTAGAGACGGGGTCTCGCTCTTGCTCAGGCTGGTTTCGAACTCCTGAACTTGAGCAATCCGCCCGCCTCGGCCTCCCAGAGTGCTAGGATTACAGGCGTGAGCCACCGCGCCCAGCCTGGCTTGTATTCTTAAGGAAAGTTACTGGCAGGGGGGTCAAGACAGGCTGATGATGAGATGGGACGGAGCCCCTCTCCCCCTCTCGCTGGATACCCTGGGACGCTGAGGTGAGAAAAAGGCAGGGAGAGGGGATGATCCTGGGTACAGGGGCTCACTCTTGTTCTGTATGGCTCCAGGGAGCAGAACTGGGACCGGTGGGAGCAATTCAACTCAACATCAGGAAGATCTCTCTATCACTCAGAGCCGGCTTAGAATCTGTCTCCTTACCGGTTTCCATGATCCAGCTTGAGCGAGGGGGGCTGACAGGATTCATTACTGACCGAGGGGAAGAAGGGGACATTCTTGGGTGGGTGGACCAAAACTATGGCCTGGGGTGGGGGGAATCTTTGAGGGCCCCAAAGCCTTTTCCCACATCTAGAGAGAGACACTGCAGTCTGCCGAGCCCCCTGTAGAACTGACAGGGCCGGCAGGGCAGGAACCATTCGCCTTCCCCACTGG